GAACATGGTTCAAGAGAGCCTAGGAGAAATCTGCAACGCGCATGTGGTTCATGCTGACCTCAGTGAACTTGGAGCTTTGGATGAGAAGTGCCTTAAATTGGCAGAGCTTGCTGCTATAGCCGTTGATTTCCCCAAAACTGGAAAACTTGTCACCATGCCATATAACCTCAGACCAAAACTGTATCCTGACTTCATGGGGAAAGAGGAATTCCAGTCATACAACTCCGAGAAAATTTTGGGCAAATTATATAGACAAGTTGATATTTTATCTCAGGGAGAATTTGCTGGACTTGAGTTTGTCCCTGAAGACATCCCATATGATACTAATCTTGAGATCCCAGGATACGAAGATTTCATAGCTGAAGCATGGAATCACAAATGTTCTTATGATAGTCAGTTGAATGGACTTTTAGGACAATACCAAGTTAACAGGGAGGAAGAGGTGGTTACTGGACATATATGGTCCATGGCAAAGCACAATTCAAAGAAGCAAGGGGAATTAAAAGAGAGGCTGAAGCATGCATATAATGCGCTGAGGAAGGAGTTCAGAAATGTTTTCGAGCATATGGATCCTGATTTTGATCAACTTTCCATTGATGAGAAGAACAATATGTATGAAACAAAGGCGTCTGCATGGTATCAGGTTACCTACCATCCTCATTGGGTGACTAGAACAGTACTGGAGTTGCAAAAGACTGATGTCGTCTCAAATACTGTTATGTTAAGTTTTGCATGGATTGCAGCAGATTACCTTGCTCGAATTAAGATTAGACAAAGGGGAATGCAACATTCCCGCCCCACACCCGCATAATTTTAAAAAAATTAAGACGTTGCCCTGCCCAACACTAGCTTAGAAACTGCCCCGCCCCACATAGTCTTAAATTCGCTCTGCCACGTCTCATTGTCATCCCATTTATACACAGTAGTATTATGCTAATTATCTCCACTAGTATATTTGTTTCCTCAGTCGTTATTTATTATTTTGGTCTTTGTCATTTTAGTCGTCGCTTTAGCTCTTTTTTACGTTTATTATGAAAAATAATAAATACAAAGTATAATTACTAAAGAGTCAAAATGTGTGAGGTATATGGTATAATAATCTCAGTGATAAACTGCAAGACTATTTTATCCTGAGTTTGGTTGAAGGTATTAGGTAGTCCTGAAATTATTTATTCCACCATTTCCTTAGTGATAAGATAAGTTATCACATATATATGAATATGGTGGAATGACTTATTCCTTGGTAATTTATTTTGGGATAACTTGTTCCCAACCAAACGATCCCTAAGAGTTTGTTTGGATGGACTTAAAATGTAACACCTCGCTATTTGAAAGAACTAGAAGGAGCTAGAATTAGAAAGAATTGTTTTTGGAAAGAAGGAAAAATCTGGAAAATTGGTAAAGTTATATTAAGTTTAAGTTTTTGGTCAACTTCAAACGACCGTAACTTCTAGCTCAGGATGAGTTACGTGTGCTTCCAGATACCGTAGGAAATATCTTGGAATTATCTTTCCAACGCCTCCGAGTTTGCACGATTCCGAGTTCGTATGAGTGATATATGCCCATTTGAAGTTGGGATGTGCAAGTAAGGAAGGTCTAATCCGGATTTTGGAAGGAATGTTTGGTCTTTTCCTTAACCAATTATTTTATTTCCTTTTTAGGAGTTTAATTGGGGTCTAATCAGAATTAGATCCGTAGAAACAATTGGAAATTCATGCTAGGGCTTGGAGAAAAGAGAAAAAAGGAGAAAGGAGAAGAAAAGTCAACATTCGTCAAGATCGTGCAATTTAGTTGTGGATTTCACCAAGGATTCAATCCTACGAGGTATGTGAGATCACATAGCGTTGGGTTAGTTCACCCATGCGCTAATCATGATTCAATTCAGCGAAGTTGTGTAGCTTTGAAAGCAAATATTATGAGTTCTTGATGAAATTCGTTTGGAATCTTGTGGGTTCTTGTTGTTGAAGTTTCTTGAGTTTGATTGATGATTTTAGGTGTGTTTTCGAGTAGAATCTTGCATATATTGATGGAATAGTTTATTCTAAGTGTTTGGGGAAAGAACCAAGTTAAAATAGGGGTTTAGAGTTGAAAAACGAGCAAAAAAAGTCGGGATTCACCTAGGCAGGGGCCTGAGGCGCCGTCCTAGCCAGAGCTCCCCAACAGGGGCTCTGAAGTTTGGGCTTTAGGGAGCCGCGCCAGGGACGCTAGTTCTTCCACTTTTTCCCACTTATTTCCGTACTAGTTCCTTAGCAACGTACCTAAGTTTTCTAGTATGTGCAAGTAAGGAAGGTCTAATCCGGATTTTGGAAGGAATGTTTGGTCTTTTCCTTAACCAATTATTTTATTTCCTTTTTAGGAGTTTAATTGGGGTCTAATCAGAATTAGATCCGTAGAAACAATTGGAAATTCATGCTAGGGCTTGGAGAAAAGAGAAAAAAGGAGAAAGGAGAAGAAAAGTCAACATTCGTCAAGATCGTGCAATTTAGTTGTGGATTTCACCAAGGATTCAATCCTACGAGGTATGTGAGATCACATAGCGTTGGGTTAGTTCACCCATGCGCTAATCATGATTCAATTCAGCGAAGTTGTGTAGCTTTGAAAGCAAATATTATGAGTTCTTGATGAAATTCGTTTGGAATCTTGTGGGTTCTTGTTGTTGAAGTTTCTTGAGTTTGATTGATGATTTTAGGTGTGTTTTCGAGTAGAATCTTGCATATATTGATGGAATAGTTTATTCTAAGTGTTTGGGGAAAGAACCAAGTTAAAATAGGGGTTTAGAGTTGAAAAACGAGCAAAAAAAGTCGGGATTCACCTAGGCAGGGGCCTGAGGCGCCGTCCTAGCCAGAGCTCCCCAACAGGGGCTCTGAAGTTTGGGCTTTAGGGAGCCGCGCCAGGGACGCTAGTTCTTCCACTTTTTCCCACTTATTTCCGTACTAGTTCCTTAGCAACGTACCTAAGTTTTCTAGTTGATTTCTACACTCTAAGGTACGTCTAAACATCATGAAATCATCCATAAATATGAGAACATGAACCTTAAATCCATAATTCAATTCAAGGAAAGTTAAGAGTCAAGTCTAGAAAGTTCAAAGAGTTTTTCCAAAAAGTCTTTTACAAACGTTTAACTTTGTTTTAAGACTTAAGCTTTGAGTTGAGTAAAAGAGTAAGAGTAGAGTTCATTTCTTCAAAGATTATACGGGAACTAAGTATTCCCAAGAGTTTAAATGTTTTCACATTTGAGCAAGAAAGGAAAACATCGATTTCCAAGAGAGCTTTTAAGTTAAGTTTTGAGTAATTATCTCAAACCAAAGAAATAGTTTGTTTTAAAAACATATGAGCTGAGTATATTTTGGGAGTAGTATTGAGCACCGATATAGGGACGCGAGTTCATAATAACTCAAGTCTCCATAAACCATGTAGTCATCATGGGTTGAAAAGATCATACTTTTTAGATGATTCCTTAGTGTTTTTTAGCATATACTAGTGGATCCACTTAGTTGAGGCATTCTATATGACGGCAAAGTATAAGATAGTTCTGGCAACGTGGGCGTGACGTTGTATCATCACTTATGCTCATAGTGGTAGTTGTTGGTTAGAGAAACTCCCACAGTATTATATTACTTTATATGTAATTGTGTTGCTATTGTATTTTTATAATACATTGAGTTGTCATCTACTGTTTTAAATGTTTTGTATAAACTGCACATTTTTTGTTGTTTTACTTTGTATTTGAGTTGACCTATTCATGAGTTGAATAAAGTCAAGGTAAGTGTTCTTTTCAGATTATGTTCAAGCTTATGTCTTGTTCAGTATTCCCCTCGCATACTCGTACATTCAATGTACTGATGACATTTAGCCTGCATCGCTTTATGATGCAGACACAGGTAACTAGGATCAGCATCCAGTGCCTCGTTGATCCAGTTGAGCACTCCGAGTCAGTGGGTGAGCCTCCTTGCTTTTCGGAGGACTCCTTTTACATTGCTTTAATATTTCAATTGTTAGGATGATCGAGGGTCTTGTCCCGACATCCTTCTTTGTTTTAGAGACTTCATAGACGAGTAGTCATAGTTCTTTAGTCTTGTATTTCAGATGTTTTGCTATAAGGCTTTAGTTGCCATCTATGGCTAGTTTGAATGTTTTATCCTTAAACGTTCTGAGTTTAAATTGAGACAGTTATTTTATAAATGCATTTGATCCTTGTAATAATGCTTAAAGTCTTCCGCTGAGAGTCTAGCCAAGACAAGGGTTCGCTTGGGGCTAGAAATGGTTCTCGGGTGCCAGTCCCGCCCAGGGTGTAGACTTGGGGCGTGACATAAAAGGTGGGAGGAGATTACAATGTGAGGAGTCAAACCCTTACCAACAAGGTAGGGGTTTAGGTAACTAAGCTACTAAGATTCGCTTTTTTTCAAAATGTATTTTAGAATACTTATATCATTGATTTTCTTCTGTTTATCGACCTTAAACCTTTGACCTAATAGTTCAGAAGAAAACTCATCAACTAGTCAATCACTATGATCAAGAAGGCCGATGCGACTTATAAGTATAGGTCACAATTAAGAATCCTAATCTATGACTTTAAGCTTGTTTTTGTTACTTAGCTCAAAAACATGCGCTTAAAATCATTTCTTAATCATACTTAATTCTACAAAAGTTACTTAATTTTTTCTAAAAAAATAAGTTAATTCAAACAAGTTCTAACTTACTCATGTGTATTTGACGTTTTATTTTAAGAATTCAACAATATTAAAAAAAGAACTACTTTTTAATGTCAAAGATATAGTTAAAAATTAATTTGTGTGGTTCAATTGCTTCGTTTTTAAACTTGGTGGTCTGAATCATTCACATCAAAAAACTTTAGCGGGGCTCTTCGCAATTACTCCATTCTTTAGAACCTTCTACCAAAAAATCCACAAAACTTCCCTTGGAATCCTCGAGAAACTGAATAAAAGGCCACTTCTGTCATTTCACACAAATCACAAAATAGTAATAAAAATCTTTTTTTCCTTATTTTCGTTTTCGCGCCCGCTTAGTTTTATCCCGCTTCCTCTTTTAGGGTTTTGAAAACCTCTTCTCCTTTCACTTTCCCCCACTCTCACTCTCGCACTTTCTCGAGAAAAAAATCGTCGCAATTCGCCGGAAAAATGCCGCCGATTAACTTGACGGAAGGAGCAATAGAGATGCTATCGATCGGAGAAGGGCATCCCGAGGAGTTTAAACCGGTGCTACAGATCACGGATGTTCGGTTGGTGAATACTCAGAACCAGACAAACAATAATGAACGATACCGGATTTTGATATCGGACGGAACGCATATTCAGCAAGGGATGTTAGCTACGCAGAAGAACGATCTAATTCGGTCTCAACAGATTCGGAAAGGAACTATTATTCAGATGAAAGAGTTCGTTCGTAATGTCATCCAGAATCGAGTGTAATGATTCCTGATTCCCTTTCAATTACTCTTAATTTTGTTATTACGTGGACTAGTAATGGTATAATTATTGAAATCTTGGATTGCATGTGTGCACCTTGAGTGAATTTTTTCATTGAGATGCTTTCCCGTGGTGTTTTATGTTTGTGTTTTTTGAGAAAAAATCAATTGTTTAAAGTACTTGTTTTACTTGTTGATTGCTGTTGTTATTTGCACGCTCAAAGCAAATGTTATGTCTGTAAAAATTGTGAAATTCCATTACCTGGGGAGTTCTGGATTTCTTTTTTCTGGACTGTTGATGGTGATCAATTAACGCAAAGATGATAGCATGTATGTTACAGATATTATTTCATACCTCTCAACTTGGGTTTAAGTTTCTGTATGTATGAAAACCTTTTCCTATTATGACAGGGTTCCTTAAATGCCAGTGGTTTGCTCTTGCAGTTGGTTTTACATTTATTTTTAGGTTTGTAGATAGGCTTTTTCCGAATTAGCAAACTTCTGTTTTTGCAGTCATGATTGCAACTGTGTGGGTTATTTGATAGGCGTTTATCTAAATTAACAGTTTAGTGCTATTCAGTTAGGACTTAGGACTGCAAATTTGTATGTTTCTAGATTATCATTTTGGTTTCATGAACTGCAAAGACTCTCTGATTGGGAGCACAACTTATATGTGTATGGTTAGACCCTAATTGTTAAGTTTCTTCCTCTTAAAGTGAGTGTCTTGACACTTTTGTATGATGAGCTTTCCCAAGACTGGTTCTTTGAAAAGATAATTAGCAAACAGCTTACCATGTCAGTAATTTCCAGCTATAATTTCCAATGAAGAACCTACATATATATGTGTTTTATGAATTTCATGTTTCGTAAATGTTTATGAATCATACTTTCAGTTTAAAAATTTGTTTATTGATATTCATTGTCTAATTCTTCAAACAGGATCATCATTATTATTGAATTAGATATTTTACTTGAGACGTGTGATCAAATTGGAGACCCAAAGCATTATGTCAGAACTGATGGTAGTGTCCCTTCGGTGCCACGACCAGCTGCCCCGCTGCAGCCTTCCACCAATCAATTAGGTGGTGTAAGTGTAAACCCCCAATCAATTGCTTCTCTTTCCGCTACTTCAGGCTCAACTCCAAGACCAAATATGTCAGGAGGAATGCAATCTCCAGAGATGAACCGTAGCAGTGTTTACAATACTGCCTCTGTTGGGAATACTGACTCTGGACGATATAGTTCAGGTGCACCTCTTTACCCCAGAGCAGAATCTGGTCCTGCAATTTCACGGGCTCCAATGAATTATGTGCGTCCACCTCAGCCTTCTTATCAACAGCCTCCTCAGTCTTCTTATCAGCAGCCATCACCAATGTACTCCAACAGAGGACCTGTAGCCAAGAATGAAGCACCTCCAAGGATTATTCCAATTGCTGCTCTCAATCCATATCAGGGTCGGTGGACTATCAAGGCCAGGGTAACTGCAAAGACGGAACTCAGACACTACAACAATCAAAGGGGTGATGGAAAAGTATTCTCTTTTGATCTTCTTGATTCCGATGGAGGAGAAATAAGGGTGACTTGTTTTAACTCTGTAGCTGACCAATTTTATGACCAGATTGAACCAGGTAGAGTGTATCAAATTTCAAAAGGAAGCTTGAAACCAGCTCAGAAAAATTACAATCACCTTCCAAATGACCATGAAATTATGCTCGAGAGCACGTCTGTAGTTCAACCTTGTTTTGAGGATGACAGGGCTATTCCTCAGCAGCAATTTCATTTTCGGCCAATCAGTGACATTGAAGCCATGGAGAACAACAATGTGATAGATGTCATTGGTGTGGTGTCTTCAATAAGTCCATCTAGTTCAATAATGAGGAAAAATGGTACAGAAACTCAGAAGAGAGTCCTCCAGCTGAAGGACATGTCTGGTAGAAGTGTTGAAGTAACTTTGTGGGGAAATTTCTGCAATGCAGAAGGTCAAACACTTCAGAGTCTCTGTGATTCTGGGGCTTTCCCTGTCTTGGCAGTTAAAGCTGGTAGAGTAAATGATTTTAATGGCAAATCTATAGGTACTATATCTACAAGCAAGTTGTTTATAGAACCAGATTTTCCTGAAGCTCTGAAAACGAAGGCATGGTTCGAAAGGGAGGGAAAGAACATGCCATCTATGTCATTGTCACGAGAAGTGAGCAGTATTGGTCGGACAGATGTGCGGAAGACTATATCTCAAATCAAAGATGAGAAGTTAGGCACTTCTGAGAAACCAGATTGGATCACTGTAAGTGCCAGTGTTACATTTATAAAGGTTGACAATTTTTGCTATACTGCATGTCCCCTCATGATAGGAGATAGACAGTGCAACAAAAAAGTGACAAATAATGGGGATGGGAAATGGCGGTGTGACAGGTGTGATCAGACTGTTGATGAATGTGAATATAGGTACATTCTTCGGTTCCAGATTCAGGACCATACTGGCTTAACATGGGTTACTGCATTTCAAGAATGTGGTGACCAGATAATGGGTGTATCTGCAAAAGAATTGTATTTCTTAAAATATGAGGAGCAGGATGATGATAGGTTTGCAGAAATCATGCGTAATGTGTTATTCAACCAGTTTATATTTAAATTGAAAGTGAAAGAAGAGATGTATAGTGATGAGCAGCATGTTAAGTCAACAGTGGTCAAAGCTGAGAAGCTGAACTTCCAACCAGAGACCAGGTTTCTGTTTGACCTGATAAACAAGATTAATGGGCAGGAATCCAGCACTTTACCTCCTAAGACAGATGATGCAACTCTGAATTCAGGGTTTAATAATACTGGATTTGGGAATAAACGCAAAGAACCAATGAGCCCTGTTGCAAGTTATGGTGTCAGCCATAGCGGTATCAGCAGAGATAGTGGACTGCAGGGAAATCGGCAAGGTCCATATGGGAATCAGCTTACAGGCTCACAGTTCGCTCCGCCTGGCTCTACTGCAGGCAGTATCAGCAGAGAAAGTGGACTGCAGGGAAATCGGCAAGGTCCATATGGAAATCAGCCTACTGGAACACAAAATGCTCCAACTGGCTCTTCTACAGGCATGTATATGAGCTGTAATAGTTGTGGTGGAACAGGTCATAGTGCTTCAAACTGTCCAAGCATGATGAGTGGTCAGAGCCAGGCATATGGAGGTGGTTTTGGCAATAGGGCAACTTCAGGGATGAGCAGTGGTGGTGGTGGTGGTGGTGGTGGTGGTGAGTGTTATAAATGCCATCAGTATGGACATTGGGCAAGAGATTGCCCAGGCGTAAGCAATGCACCTGCTGCCAATAACATGACATCAGGAAGATACGGGAATACTCCAAGGCAACACGTCGGTGGTTTTTGATGAACCTTTTTGAGCGCATAAAGTTGTCCTGTACAGGTTTAGATGTCTTCTCTTAGTGGTTCATCATGGCTCATGTTCTGCTTTTGAGAAAGCTTCTTGAGGGCTTGCGTTTTGCCTTTCTGTACAGTGGTCGCATGGGGCTTAAATTATGCGTCACTGTTCCTGGACGAGAGTGCACTACAAGTCTTGTCGTCCTTGTTTTGAGGAGTGACATTTCGTTGCTCTTTCCTTGTAAATTATAGTCTTGCATTATCATCTCTTTTCGTCTTTCTTTTTTTGAGTTCTTTTAGGTAATCTTTCTTTGTGGTTTCGACCTTTTAAGATAAAAACTCTTGTGTTACAGTTTAGACTAACATGTGTATGTTGTCACATCTTTTTAATCTGTCACATGTCATCTTTATTTATGCACGTCTTGAATACGTAATAACCCCTCCTATTCAAAATAAATGTTTTGTGTTTTAGGCTTGGGTACGTGAATGAAGTGTCGAGCAAATCGAAGAAAAAGAATTTACTGTAAATGTCTTGGTTTTGGTTTGGATCATGTTTTGGAAGCTAACTTGCGTCTTAAACTTCTGTTATAATTTTTCATTTAGATCCCTAGACTTGAAGTTTTATCACCTGAACTCTAATCAAATTTATGTCTATTGAGACCACAGTGATTTTTCTCTTTCAAAATTATGAATTCTATGTCCACACAATTTTTCAAAATAATACTCCAAATAAAATAGTGAAAAATATTCATGACCAAACGGACACTTAATTTTTTGGGGGATTGGGGTTGTGGGGTGTTGGATGAGGTACCAAAAACTAGTTGGTCGACTTTTGGGTGATAACAAGAAATGTTGTTCAAGAAATATTCTCAATCTTTAATTTAGGTGTCTAAATGGAAATTTTGAGCAAGCTTAAGGAGCCACCACATATGTAATCAACCTTCTTTTAACGCACTTCAAGTCGCATTTCTCTCAGTTGCAAAAGGCTCTCACAAAATATTTTGCTATGGGCAAGTACCAAATTACGCCCAATGGGGAAAATCTGCAATGATGATGACCGTCAAACATGAAACAATTGAAACCTAATTTAGGATTTAGGGTTGAGAGTTCCACAAGGCACGCGATCTTCAACAACTGCCAAAAACTTTTAAAAGTATACCATAATTTTCGCGGTTAACACTATTTATCTGTTACAAAGGAGAGGTAGCAAATTCTGTTTGGTCTAAAGCCAAACAGTGTGAGTTTCTTGAATGAAATAAGTAACAACAGTGTTCTCACAAAATTGATGCATTAGGTACTAGCTTCTTCACCACATTTTCTTTAGAGATCTGGCATGCCTTTTCCTGTTTTTGGATCATATGTCCTCTCCATAACAACCTCCATTGGAGTATCCTTAGGACCAGCTGCACAATGAAACCAAAACATATGCAAGAGTGAAAAGATCAGACTCCGCCAAACACACATTAAAAAGTGGACCGAGCAGAGTTTACTCAAAACGTCTTAAATTGGCTGAACGAACTCTATAACCATTTCCCTTGAAGTTTACTAGAAGGAACGTGGTAAGCAACAATGTCAAACAAGCACCACTTGCTAAGCAACACCTACCATCAAACGACTACATAAGTGGCATACCTCAGCACCTATCCAGCACACATATTTCTCAAAGTTGTGCAACCCAATGCCACCACATTACCAGCTCCCCCACACCACCACCACCCCACCCAACCCCAGAAAAAAGGAAGAATGATAAAAGGTGATAAGAAGGCATTCATCCAAACATATGAAACCAAGGGAAGGAATAGAAGAATAAACCATGTTCTTGAGCTCCAGATCGATGCTTCATCTAAATTTGACTTATAATCTAATTTCAAATTATACTTTTATCAAACTGACCATAATCCTTCTTGTCTATTTCAACAATTTGTCTTAAATGAAACTTGCCCCACATTAAGGTTGCATCATGCAGTTGACTACAATTGATCTTAAGCTCTCTAAAGCTTTAACCTTTCATTTCTTCTTCCAGTTGAAATCAGATTATACCTCTAAACCAATAAACTGTTTTTTTTAAGTAACCCCTTCCCGCCACAAAAATAAAATAAAAAAATACAGCATTTACTACATTTGAAATGCAACAGAATACTCTTTTAGAAGAATATACTCGTATGTAAAAGGATTTGATAATTACCAACTGTAGGCCTTGGTGTGGTCCTTATTTTTAAGATCTCAGGCCGGGGAATGATAGAACCAGATGCTCCTATACCTCTTGAGACTCTTACTTTGGAGCCATCCTCCAGGTATCTAATTCCGACCTTGGTTGGTTTCCTGTGGAAGAAGACATGAGCTACCATGTGCTAAGAGCAAAAAATAAAAGGTAAAGAGAAATAATATATCCATACCCTGTGACTGGATCTACAACCTGAACATTGGAAACATGCAGTGGGGCTTCAACTGTAAATATTCCACCTTCATGACCTTGCCCTTGTTTGATATGTTTCTTGACCTGCAGAAGGGCATATAATATAAGGGATCATTTTGTTACATACTAATTATTTTTTGATAAAATAAGGTAATTCTATTTATGAATAGTACCAAGTGGGTACTGAAGATGTAACAAAGTAAGTGATTTATCCTCTGATAAAGCTTTAGAAAGTCTAACTAAGGCCAAAATATTTATCATGTTAGATACAGAATCTCCCTTACACCAACAGTCTAAATATAAGTCAAACTAAAAAATAGCTGGAAACGCTTCTTTGTAAATTAACAACTTTCCTCCTTAATTCAGCTATCACTAAGGGGTCGCCTGGTGTGAAGGATAACACCAAATAGTCTTGGGATTAAATTATAGTGCCACTTAATTTGTTGTTTGGTTGGCAAGTCCGGGATAACTTTTCCTGGGATTAATAATTAGTATCGGGATAAGTTATCCTTTCCCTTGGGTGGTATAATAATCCTAGGATAACTTATCCAGGAGAAAATAGGTAAATGACAAAAATATCCCTTTAAACCCTTTTTATACATCACTTTTTCCATTCATGAAGGGTATTTTTGTAAACATTTGTCCTTAAAATTTATATAATGTATATTATTTTGAATACAACAAACCAAACACTCAATAAGAAATAATCTCTGCATAACTTATCCCATCACATCATAACTTGTATTTAAACCCAACGACCCCTAAATGTTATCATAAACAAGCTACTTTCTCATATTCTTTATATTACGGTCACCAATGAGGATTTACTACATTGAAACTACTTTATGCTCTCAGATTACAATCGCATAGCGTTGGATAATTAAAACCTAGACATTCTTCAGTCGACACCCATTCTCCAACACCACCACTAAACTTAATGTAAACAACACACATCAAAGGCTGATACTATCACAACTTGAACCCAGAGAGAATAATCCAAATTCAGAGGTACCGTGAAAACTGGCATACCAGAGTAGCGTCATGAAGGTCGCATCAAGTCTGATAGGATCATATAGGACTGCTATTTCTCAAGATCCTAACCTCTCTATCAAGTTTGAGGTTTTCAATTTAAAGCTTCTCTTGCTAATAATTGCTACATCTACAAACCTCAACAATAGTAAATGCTGGTAACTGATTAACCAGCACTTTATGATAAATAAGTTAAGGGTTTGAGATATATCCACCGTCACTATAAAATATTTTTTTAAACCATCGGGTCAATTTTACCTGGGGTAGCAGGTAATCTGACTTATTTTCAAAATTACAAATCCCACGTTTTAAGGATGCTTACCTATTTATATCCTTTGCGTGACATGATAATTTAAAAACTAAAAAGCTTGTTATACACTTATACTGACCATGTATATTGCTTAACATATTTTTCTCAACCCTTCATTTTACTTTTTGTAATATTTGCAAACTGTCTACTGTTTAGTGTTTGCACAACGGTTTTCGAATGTAGAACAATTATCATTTATGCAGAAAATTAGTACTCGTCTGCATTAGATTTTATACCTCAAAAGCATCTCTTATTCTTTTCAATAGTTTGAGTAAGGCTACAATCTTTGTATATAGTGAGCTGTACCTTCAAATTGTAACATGCCCTTTGCTTTAAAAGCTGGGATATTTTCATTTTTATGTAAGTTGTGTACAACATCATATAATACAAACCAGCTATAAGATTGTTAGAACCACTTATCAATCTTCTATGTGAAATTCACAAGCACCCTATATTACACCACAACTATTAAAATTATTTTATTCGTGTAAGACCCAAAATTTGGAAAAGGAAACACCTAGGAAACTCTAACGACAAACTTGCTTATTCATTATAATCTAAGTCCTCAGTTCTATACACAACCCCTCCACTTTGAGCATATGTCCCAGCATCAGACAATCACGGTTACGATGGATCCACAATGAATATGACAAGAAATGTTTAAAGAAAGAGTAAACTACGACAAGATATGCTTAGAGATATAAAGTAAGTGTCACAAAATTACTAACCAGGTTTTTCCCCTCAACAATTACACGGTTTTGAGAACGTACGACACGCTTGACAACGCCAGTCTCGCCTCTATCTTTTCCTCTGATAATCATGACCTGAGTGTTGGCGGAAAAATGGGAAACATGAAATAGAAGTATTAAGAAATTGAATCAGCCATGCAAAACAATGATGAATGAGCTTACATTATCTCCTCTGAGAATTCTCCACTGATGAATGAGTTTCTGATAACTTTTCCACCCCATTTTGAGCTAAATCAAAGTAAAAGCTCCCTTCTTTGCATTCAGATGTGCAAAAAAAAACACTAATTAGATAAATATCAAATAAGACCCCCCTAAAAAAAACTAAAATGGATCAAGAATTGTGAAAAAGTCAAATCTATTGCAAACCCATCTAAGAAAAAGACTATGCATTTACAGTGTAGGCCACTACTTTAACTTAACAGGAAAACAAAATGCAACTGCTACAAAACATTGCTATCATCAAGTAAGCAACAAAATTCTCATTAACTCCAACTCAAAGCTCCACAGGTCAAAACAGTATCTCGCATTACCTTAAGATATGAAAATGCAGGCATAGTAAAGCCCAATTAGGGAAAATGGAGAAGAACTCTATTCAAAGTGAAACGAGGAAATAAACCCAATTTGTATCAAGTTACTGATCTGTACCACAGAGGAATATGACATGTGTGCAGTACAACAGAAAATGTCTTCCCTTGTTTGGTTACCTTACTTCAACTCCTATTTAGTCTAACACCTAGACATTGTTATCAACCCTTAATACCCAAAAGTATCAATACATAATCATTATACCAAATTCACCCAAATTATTTCTCCAGATAAAACAGCTTCCATTTCCTCAATACACATCAAAAAACAGAAAAAAATCAAAACTTTATACAAAATTGGCATCTGGGTGTCTTTAATAATGGAAA